AATTTTAGGACAGTTTAAAACAATTTGGGCTTGAAAAATTGGGTCAAATGTCATATTTTATTATATATGGGTACTAACATTGGTTCACTGTTTTATTTATCATTTTTTTCTACAGAGCTCCAAAAATCATGATTCTTGAAGCATTATAAACTAGACACATTCATCTTTCTAGAGGATCCATAATCATTCAATTCGGAGATAAATTGAATTTTACATAAATTATCCACAACGGGTCAAGCGCACTAGGTCGTCCCAATGGACATACTTCAGTAATTTAAGTCTCCTAAATTCATTAGACCTCTGAAAATAGTAAGAATGGTGGCGTTTTAAAGCTAACTAAAAATGCTTTCAAAGGAGACCAGAATCGCTTAATTTGGATATGTATTGGAAATACTGCACGTGTTTGAAGTTGGAGGACCTGCATTGAAGCCAACTTATGATGTGTTTTGCGGATTAGTTGGGCCCAAACCTAGATTAGGGTTAGGGTTATTTATGTAAGGGAGATGTAGGATTGAGAACAACCATAATGCAGCCACCATGTAGCCACCACACAGCCACATTTCATCTTCTGCGTTTTCAATTTTCCATGAATAGCTAAATCTTTGTATTGATTTTCTGAGAAGAATCCAAGTAGATCTCTGAGGTTTTGTTCTTCAATTTCATTTCGTTTGTTCTCTTAACTCTTCATCTTCTAATCTCAGTGTTGAATTATAATCTATTTATGCTTAATAAACTGAGACTAATATCACAGTTTGCTTAATTTTGTATTAGAGATGAGATTATGTGATGTATGCAATGCTTAATTGTATAAGGAAATTTGGGGTTAATCTTCGCTTAGTTGGTTAATTTCATATTGGAATAAGAGTTAAGGAAAATTTGAGATTAATCTTCGCTTAGTTGGTTAATTTCATATTGGAATAAGGGTTAAAGCTAATTTGGGATTAATCTTCGCTTAGTTGATTAATTTTGGATTAGAATATATTTTGGGATTTATCTTCACTTAGTTGGTTAATTTCAAATTAATTTTGTAACCTAGGATAAGTGACACTCCATTGGAATCAGGAAATCAATTGCATTCTAATATGTTTTTAATCCGCATTTTTATAATCTACTTTTGTTCTATTTCATATAATATTTTAATTCTGCAACCCCCCCTTTTGTTGCTTGTTCTAATTCGAAAAATTGATAAGCTTTAATAGAAATTCGTGGTCTTTAGAAGACGACCTAGGAAAGCTTCCTAATACTACATTTATCTATTTTAATTATTTGACTGAGTACGACATCGATCAATGCACTTTCACATTATCAAATAATATCCAATAACAAAGATAACTCGTTTGGTTGTGGAAGATCAGATTAACGGCAACCATAAAGCATACTAAGAACTTTTTCCAACATTATTCTAATGACTATGCAGCAAAAGACCAATATCACGACCTAATGGCTCTGATACCACTATTAAGTATCAGACAAAAACATAAGTACATACAACTAAAATAAAAAGATGAGAAAAATACCGACAATAGGCAAAAGAGTAATTCCACTAATGATAGAAATTACAACTCTTCTCTCTTTACCTGCAAGGAGGAAACAATAATACTCTCTTGAAAATAAAGGAAAAACAACTCTAAGAGAATCTAAAAGGAGAAACTATTTTTCTATCTTGATTTATCTCTCAAGTACTAAAATAGCAAGAGAAAGAAAAGTAAGTACCAAAGTAAAATTTGCCTGATTTGAAACTTCTCTTCTCACACTTTAAACATATAATTGGTAGGGGGTCTCTTAATAATCATGTTATCACTACTATCTTGATTATTATCCTTCACTGTGTGGTAACCCATAAATTGGACACTTTTTTAACTTTTCAAACTCATTTTTATATAAAATATAATCAGTAGGACATGCATGAATATGTTTATACTTCATCCTTGTTGGACCTCATAATTACAATTGGGTAGTACATTTCCTTCTAGAAACATATCCTTCAACAATTGAAACAATTCAGTGAAACTTTTATTAGTCCACCCTTTTATTTCTTTCAAATTTATCAATCTTAATATTGTTGACAACCACATAAAGTTAGTTGAATCACGATAAAATGGAGTTTCTACATCACTACACATATCTTCGTACATATGCACTTGAGCAAAAGGTTCTACTCCAACATCACAAATCGTGTCCTTCAGTCAATGAACCATGGTTAAATGAACTAAATCATCATATTCATTTACAATTGATAAATCTAATGATTCACCATATCATGTCCAAGTTGTATAATTTTTAAGAAAATCATCACATAAAAGATGTATCCTAATTTCTTCAACATTTGATATTCTTCCATTAAGACAATTAATACATGGACACTTTAATCTTCTACCAGCAGAACTAGTAGAAGTGTCATGTTATACAAATAGAAAAAATCATCTCACTCCTTTCCCATACTCATAAGTTATGCGGTACAATTAATCCAACCTTTATCAATTTCTAGATTCTGTATGCATATGCAATTATATAATTTAGTCAACAATGTAATTTTTCACATATCAAACACCCCTGAACTCATAAAAATTCGTTCAAAAAAGTCAAATATCAATGTACATCATCACAATACAACATAGTAAATTCATACAATATTAATCCTATTAAGAAAATCAAAACAATTACTTACTAAAGAGGAAGAATGAGCTCTCAAGGGAAGGGAAAACTGAACTCTCAAGGGAGAAAAAGTGAGCTCCACGAGCACAACTCCAATTACAAGAGAGAATAATGGACTCCACAAAACCAACTTCACAACCCCATAGACCCACCATAATCCCACCATAAACTGCCATGTGAACCCCCACACACACCACACAAACCTTCGCACTCTACCAACCACCACAAAAACCATAACCATTACTAGTAGAGAGGGCATGACATTGTCATCGCAAGAGAAAGACCCAAATGCGGGAGAGAGGGAGGGCGCGAGAGCTGGAGAAAAGTGGGTGAGACAAGGAGAAGAGTGGCTTGGGGGACAAGGGTGGCTTGGGGGACAAGAGCGGTTGAGGAAGGCGTGGTGCAGCCAAAACAAAGAAAGAAAGAGGATGTGTGCGGCAAAAATAAAGGACGAAGGCGAATGTAAATAGGGTATAGAACACACAATGATGATCCTTCTTAATAATTATCGTCATATAGCATATACAACGACAATTATTAAATATTATCATCAAATTACTATTGTCTTCAATATTCAAAGACAAATAATTAATAACCACCATTATATAATTGATTATAATTTCAAAAATGTCACTTTTGATGATGGATCTCAATAATTATATGTAAAAAACCATTCTCACTACTCTATTTTAGACTAATAAAAATTAGTATCAAATAAATTTATATTATATATCAATTACATATATAAAATAAAAGTATTACAAGTGTTTTTAAGAAATTGTACAACTACAATTAAAAATAAAAATAAATAAATCAATATCAATTATATAATTGAAATGATACCACTAAAACACATAATATAAATGTAAGATTGAAATTATATTATGAAAGTTATAATATCAAACACATAAGATAAATGAAGTATACATTGGACAAGCTTTTGTTTTTATAATGTTTCTAACTGAATTTCATTTCCCATGTTGATTTTTATTTCTTGTTTGTGATGATAAGTGAGTATGATAATTGTTCGGAAACCCTCTAACAAGAAAAGAATGTTCCAATATCTTTAAATTATCCGATAAAAATTACAAATAGTCGTTAGTGATTATACAGCAATTTGAATTATATGGAGTGCAAAAGTTACTTGTTTAATATAAAGTAACCAATATAATTAATTTTAATTGTTAAATTATTTTTTACATCGAAATTTAAAACTGTCTTTTTAATTTGAATTTTAAAAGTTTATCAATTTGTTAATTAACACTACACATTTTTTTTATTTTTCAAAAATTGGAATTTTTTTATTTTAACAACATATTAATTAATTAGTTAATTTTTTTTATTCTTTCAATTAAAAAAATATTAAATTTTTTATAAATAAATATCAGTTGTTAATATATTAATTATTAAAAATTTATCAAGCTTTTAATTTTTATTTTTTTAAGACTTGAATATGTCTTTCAATCTTGTTAAATTTAGAAATTCTGCGGTTGGTCCCTAATAATTTTTCTTGCTTTTATTCCATAAATCTTTTTTATTTTGCACTTGATCCTTCCTAATACATTTTTTGTATTGAAATGATATGTGATTATATCATAGAAAATATATTGATTATTATGATACAAAGTTCAAAAACTAAAAAATATATATATAAAAATATTTAAAGGATTGTTTTAAAAAACATAGATAACAATATAGATCAAATATAAATAAATATACTTCAGAGAGTAAATACAAAAGGAATTTTTTTACCAAACAACAATAAAATAATGATTTTTATTTAATTTTATTTTAATTAACGTATCTTATAATTATAATATTAACAAAAGGAATTGTTGATTAGGTGTATTTTAAAATGGGGCTAGTGATTTATAATAACTCAATACAAAATTATAATATACTTTAATATATATATATATATATATATATAAAGTTTTTTTTATTTATATTCTTAAATATTATTTTAATGAATTGTATCAAATTAAAAAATTTATAAAATTCACTTGCTTCGATGACCAGAGTAAAATTAAAATTACCATAAATAAGATTCTTTTTCAAGCGTCTACCTGTGATCAATTAATTACAAGCATAAAAGGGATAAAAGATATTTTCAACTAACATAAGGCTGTTTTGAATTTTCATGTTCTTACCTTTGATTCTAATAGGCCAAATTTTGGTCTCCATCATTCATTATGTGTACAAACATACATTTCCAGCTAAATGGGAGAGCAAGCAATCCAAATCAACTTTGGCATAGCAGAATATACAAAGCAAATCAACTTCATCATTGTGTTACAAATTGCACAAAAATCTAATAACCCTCATAATTGAATGAGATCACAATGTCAAGCTGGAGGTTCAGGACCAGGTGGTTTGGCATTGAGAAGTGGCTGGAGAGCTTTGACAACAATCGTCATGTTTGGTCTGAAGTCTGCTTCATACTGAACACAAAGTGCAGCCACTGCTGCCAACTGCATTTATCCATCCCAAATAATCAGTCACCAGTCTCAAAACCATCTCAAATACACTACTGTGAATATTTCGATTCAAGAGTTGAAAAATAACTTCGCTTAAAAAGCTAAAATCTTTCTTTCTTAGTTCATGTATATGAACGCACAAAGCTTATATTAGAGTTTGTACGAGTATTTTTGTAAATTTTAATGAACATGGTTCAACTTTATGCAGTAGAAGGACAAAACACCTTAGCAATAGCCTTCGGCGGATACTCATTGTTTAGCTTAGGATCAACACACTGTTTCACTTTGTCCTCACTCAGCCTTGGAGTTGCCTGGAATATGAAAGAAGAACAAATTATGAAAATAGTAATATAATGGAAATGTAAACCAATTAAGGTCATCAAATGCATACCCAAGTCACAAGACTTTGTTGTCCTTTAGGCATTGTGTGATCTACTGGCTTTCTTCCAGTCAAGAGTTCTAATAGCACAACACCAAAACTGTAAACATCACTTTTCTGGGTTATCTGCCCAGTCATGGCATACCTGAAGGTGAAAGTAATAATTTTAACAAACGAAATTATAACTTACATTAACATGATATTATTTCCAACACAAAGGATAGTGTTTGCATAGGATGGAGAGTGTTTAGTTCTAACATGAAATTATTGCTAATACCTGAAGATATACTTACTGAAAGTATGTCTACAGACAAGGTTTGTGGTTATGATTAGTTATATGAAATATTCCGTGTACATGAAAGACTATAAAGTAGAGATTATACATTAACTGACTCAACTCAAATCCTTTTTTAGTTTCAACCAAGAAGAATTTACAATAACTGAATCTCAAATTGAAGTATAAGAAGGTTTCATTGTGGACATACTCTGGAGCATGATAGCCAAATGTTCCCAATACTCTTGTTGAATGTAGCCGAGCGGCCGTGTCAGAAGACTGATTTGTCAAGCTGAAATCAGCTATCTTGGCCTCATAGTCATTGAACAGCAAGACATTGCTGGATCTAACATCGCGATGAACAATAGAAGGCTGAACCTTTTCGTGAAGAAACTCAAGTCCTTTTGCTGCACCAAATGCAATTTTGGCTCTCTGGTTCCAATTTAAAACCGGACCAGGTTCAGCCCCTTGTACACCCTTCCTTCCTGGCAATAGCAAAAGCCTAGAGTTCAGATAAAGAACCAGAACTGTTTCCTTAATTGATATGGACAGTGTTGGACCTACCATGTAACACGTCATGCAAAGAACCAAGACTTGCATGTTGGTAAACCAAAATTCTGTTTTCTGCCTCTAGACAATATCCAATCAACTCCACAAAGTTGTCATGCTTCAGTCTTGAAACAACTGATAACTGCATGATCAATAGTGACATGTGTGACAATATCATGAATGATGAAACAAGGCATTCGTTCAATGGATTTACATTCTCGGGTCAAAATCGTACCTGAGCCCCAAAATCGGAGTCAGGTTCTGGGGAAGAACTATTATCTAGCTTCTTAATTGCAGCATCAGTACCATCACTCAATTTTGCATAGTAAACCCGTCCGTAGGAACCTTCGCCAATAAAAGCCTTTGTACCAAAGTTTCCTGTTAACCTATTTAACTCATCCAATGGAATAGAGGGTATCTCAATTGGCAATACTTTCTGCGGGGCACCACTCTTTGCCATACTGCCTCTAGGCTCTCCTCTATCGTTTCCTATATTCACAGGGTTATTTCAAATTATTATCCATAACCTTGCAGAGGAAAGGCATTATAATGGATTACATAAAAAATAAAGTAACAAATATAATGAAATTCTAATGCATGTTAGCTTTTGTTAAAATGGTTTAAATTTGAAAGCAATCTCTCTTCACATGTAAAAGTAAGATTGCATGCAATGACTTTCTCCCACATACTTTAAACAAAGTTTATGAGTATGATATATAATGAAGTCTTGGAGCATCTGTTGCTCTCAACAAACAAAAGGTTCCAAACATCAATCTTTGAATTGCATGTCGCTGATAAATAGTATGTGCATCTCAACCCAGAAGCAATTTTCCAAGTCAACAAAATGGCACAAGAGTAAACCACATTGGTCAAAGCTGATAATGAGGGCTATGAAAATCTCATTGTTCTGAGTATGAAAAACTTCCAACAAGAAGGGCAAAAACAAAGAAAGGAAGCACATATAAAATGAATATGTTACCTCCACCGTATGTGCTACCCCCTCTAGGTGGTGCAGTGTATTGGTTTGCAGGGGGGCCGCTGCTCTCCTCCTCTGCACCTCCGCAGCACAACATACTTCAACTCGTCCTAGCTGCACTCTTAATAAGCCATATTCACAGAAACGATCGATATCGAATGAATCACCTGAAACCATTTCAACGCTCAAAATTTCCACCGTACAATTTGTCTTTTAAACTGGCTTAATAGACAATGCGGAAACAAGATAATGTCCAATCATAAAAAAAAAAAAAAAAAAAAAAACTAAACACCTAATTTGTAAAATTGTAGAAGAATAGCATTCATATCATTGTTTCGTCTTGTGTGTTTATCAAGTACCAAAATCTCAAGAACGTGTATCCAATTCTATACGTTTTTGCATAAAGGTGATGAACATAATCAATAAATACAGTCAACTGTTTGTTCGTATGGGGAACAACACACAAACATAATATAAATAACAAAAACCATTAATCAATAATACCAAAAACTCTCTCTTATCCTTCAAGAATTAAAGCAGTAATAAATTTCTTGTTGATGCAATGCAGAATTATATATTGTTATGGCATAGTTGACGAGACAACACGAACCCAGAATTAACATGAAAAATTTAAACCCTCCAAATGTATCAAAATGACGATAAACAACCGAGAGACGTTATCTGGTTAATTACCTCAGGAAACTTGCGATGAATTACGTCCTACAGTGGCGGATACAATAAGTTGACGACAAAGAAGAATATTACGAAGAGGAAAACAAAAAGAGACTCAGGGATTGCGAAATGCAGAAAGATGAAAATTCTGGTGTAGATTTTTTTTTCATTGGGAAGAAAAGTAGGTGTTATTGCGATTACCGGGAATGTCGGTAGGAAGATAAAGAATTGTTGTGTGTGCCAACGTTGCTAGGGTTGTGTTGCATGTACGTGCTCCCACGATGATGCACGTCCTTCGTTCATTACCCACTATTTTAGTGCTCTCTTAATTACAAGGTTATTACTATTTATTATCGTTATATGTTATTTGTTATTCTCATATATATATATATATATATATATATATATATATATATATATATATATATATATATAAATCTGACACCCAAACACGACCATATGCTGGCAAGTTCCTACCTACGTAACACCTTGCTCTTAATTACGAGGTTTCTTATCTGTCACTGTTGACAAAGTTTATACAATTTTTTTTGTAATGATTTCTGTGGTTAATTCTTAAGCATTATGTCAAGTTGTGTTCAAACCACTTTCGCACTAAATTTTCTTGTTTGACTTCTGAACACCATTTTGACAACAGTGTTTATTTTGCGTTTTTCATGATTGTTATTTGTTTACTGTCAAAATTATATTTGCTTCATTAATTTCGTCTTATGTAATTGATAAACTTTGTTTAAATTCAATATACACGAATTGTGATAAAAACTCTTCTTTTTATAGGTGGCATGTATCTTTCATTGGTTGTTTTACAATATCACTATAGAATAAACATGGGTTAACTTCGTGTAGGATTTAGGGAGATTTTACAGGGACATTCAAGTGAAGGAAATGAACGCATGAGTCTTATTAGGTGGAAGATAAAGCATTTAAAACATAATATATAAAATATTAATGGAGTTTTATTGCATTGTGTCATGATAACAAAAAAACATAAAAGATACAAGCTTTATGTCGATTTTGGAGACATTGTAATGTGAAGAGGTTGAAGATAAAAGATAGGTGACTAAACATTTTTTCTTTAATTGATTTCCAAGTCAACTATTACTATAAAAAGTTATAAAAATGGTTATTTTTTAGATTTTTTTCCTTATGACTTTCTAGTAATTTACTATAAAATAATTAACAGTTTCAAGCCAATATTCTTTGTTTTAAAAACAAAAAATTTATGCACATAACAGTGTAATTTTTGTTACAGTATCATTCCGTTCTAGGTCATGTAAAGTTAATAGATTTTCATATTAATTAACTTGAAAATCCTATTAAAATAATTTTTAAATTTGTCTGATCACGCAAAAAATAAGTTTAATATATGTATATATCTTATCCAATTAAAAAATCTTCATTAAATGATTTAAAAATAATTATTACAAAATTCAACCAACTATACTATAACCTTTATAACAACAGTCTTTCTACTTATCTGTCCTTTTGAAATTTAAAGGCTCCATTGATTATTATATTCTTAATCATGTTACTATTTTATTTAATAATTTATTATGAATGACATAAATAATTGTAAAAATCATATTAGAAAATTAAAAAATATTAATATAAGTTAACTACATTTCTCATTTGTATGCTACCTTTCATAATGGATAAATAGAAAGTAATGGGTATAATAATAATTAATCCTACAATTCCAATGGCTGATACATTACAATACTTTTGCTTTACTTTTTGGACTTTAATCATCTAATTTGTTATGTCTGTTTTCTTTCACTTCAACATAGTGCCACTTTCTATCAGCTTCAAAAAGCAGTAACTTTTTTGGACCAAACTTTGCATGGCTTTTCGGTTTAAGTTTTTAGAGAACCAAAGTTGAAAAAAATTCACTTAATCGTGTAGGTTTGATTTCCAATATTCAGAAGCACATAATTCTGTCCAAAGAGGAAAGAAAGAAAGAAAGCTGAGCCAAATTGAAAGTAAACCTCACAACTAAGACACAAGCTATAAGGAGATGAAAGAGAATCTACGGAGAGATAAGCAGACATAGTGCTTCATTCCTTGTCAGAAAGCAAAAACCTTAAAACAATGGTTACATCTCTAAGAGTACTATATTTACATCTCTCAATCTTCTCTCCATATACGACCAGTGATTCTCAACTTCAACTCCTGTCTCTCTCCACCAGAAAAATAAAGGGCTAGGTTCCTCTGAATTATAAGTCCATCTTGACTATCTCGAACTTTTCTATGACTATCCCGAATGCTCCTTGGAATCCCTTGCCATATCAGTTTGCGCCCATTTGCACCAACTTCTAAGCTGTAGCTGAATTTCTTTGCTTCATAGTCATCACCCATAAATCGCAAAAAAGCCATATACACTGGAGCTGACCCAAGCTGGAATGCCTCAAAGTGCAAGCAGAAATGCCTTCCAAAACTATTAAAAACCTGCAAAAGAAAAGAAAAGAAAAACTCTGAACATGTCAAGTGGGTTTCTTTATTAACATCATGACATGCATTCAGAAAACGAAAGGTGGGTCCGTATACTAGCTTTAGACTTAAAGAAATGTTTAGAAGCAAATCAAAGAGGAAAAAAAATCGCATCTTGTAACTATATTCCATATGTTCAAATAATTCATCAAAAGTCAAAAGACTTTGCCTACGTGAATGTCATGTGACCCATGATGATTCTAAACATTACTTGCATAGAATTAAATATAGTCAAGTAGAGCTTTTTTAAACAAACGTGCATGGCCATGTGCACACATGAAATCAAATGTTACACACTAGGGGATATGACATCAAGACTACTATACTAATTAGATAAAAAAACTAAAATGTAAGAAATGCCAGTCCATGAAAAAGAGTACGTCAAATCATACAACAGTCCAACTACTGTAATCCATTAAATAACTTACAGTTAGCATCCATGTGGCGTTTTCAACTTCATGAGGATTTGCTTTTACATATCGGTGATTGAAGGTGCATCCATCATGCATGTCAACCTTGTGATCATCCTTGAGATGGGCAACAAGAGTCGGAATGTCACCCATCACTGAGCACTCAGATCCAGCATAAGGGCAATTGTATGGACGAAATCCACAGTTTTGCTCGTGCTTGAGCTTGGTATAGTAAGGGAATATATCATGACATCCTAGACTCTGATATCTGCAAGGAAGCTCCAATGATTCTGCCACTTTCTCCAAAGCCAAACACCTTATATTTCCAAGATCATGATGACAGGTTGGGCAGATATTATGGACTTCAACTTTACAGTGGTAACATAATGTATGGCCATTTGGACACTGAAACACACAATGCAGCCATGTGCGAAATATTAGAAATTTAAAAGAAAATTACAATACAGGACAGATTCACAGTAAACATGTGAACTGAGAATAATGACTAAATAGTTTCAGACTTTCAGCAGGTTTTATTAACCATCAACATAATCCAACAGTCATCTCGGTAGAATAGGCAGTACAGTTACATGAGTATTAGATGCACATGGCCTTCAGTGAAAACGACCAACAAAAACAATAAAAGGGTGTGTTGGGAATATTTTGAAAGCATGGTGAACAAAAAATCCCAACTTCCAAAGCACACACTACATATGGAATTCCAAACACGCACTAAATTAGCAATACCTGGGTCAATGTTTTCATAACTATCTTCTTACTTCTCCTTCCTACCCATTTGAGGGAAATTCAATTCTCAACTAAATCCACTTCCCTCAGCATCAGCCATTCAACTATAATATTCATAAACATGGGCAAATTGGATAGATAACTATCATGAAACTCACATTACAAAAGAAACATTGAATAGACAGATATGGTCATTTAAATCTGTTCATCCTGATCACTACATCTCCTCATGTCTCACTAAAGATCAATGACTGAACTTATCCCACGTTGCCCAGGAAATTAAGGTTGCGCAAGTGTACTATATCTTCAGATACAACCATCCTATAAGGACTATAGAGATAAAAAACACAATGCCTCTATTTGTATGTCTATATCTATTTCATGTATGAATCATGAGCTACTCGACAAGGTTTTCCACTTACACTATATAGACCCCCAAAATAAGAAATTACAAGCACTGTACCTGGTGAATCGGGGGATACATTAAGTTCTTGCAAACAGAGCATCCAAGTAATTCGTACACCCCATTATTTGAACTAACTCCGTTCTTTCCATTCAACCCAACACCAGATTTTGTAGATGTACTATTACTCTTGGCCTCAGATTTAGCCTTGCCTGTTTCATAATCTGAAGACATCAGATGAGATTCAAGAACTTCCTTGAAAACACTGCTTCCAGGAGTCATTGCTAACCCAGATCTACAGTATTTCTTTCCTGATAAGAAGGAACCAGAGCTCTTACTTTTATGGAATGCTACATCTGTTATACAGGTAAATGGTCAATGCATAAGAACTTACATAGTAGATGCTATAATAGTCAAATCTGATATTATTTAGTTCAATATACTGGAAAGGGAGAGAAAGAAATATGCAAGACTAATTAAGATGTGATTTTTCAGTCAGAATAAAGACCTTATAGAGTTTCAGTAGGATAATTTCAGGTAAGCTACATACACATGCAACAGTAACTAGATTAACTGCAAATTTGATTGCTTGAATACTTCTGGAAAACATCATGCGAATATAATTTCCTTAGAGCAGTTTGACCTTAATTTGTGGAATCAAAAAAGAAATATGTCTGAAACAAGAATATCATGTTACACAGTTACACAAAATGCAAATCAGTGAACCGGGTCTTCAATGTCAATACATGCTAACATAGATAAATTACTTACTGACAATTTTCACGGCAACAAATAACAACAAAGCCTTGTCCCACAATGTGAGGAATAAATGAAAATTTTCAGATATCATTATCATAAAAGCAGTTACTATTTGCAGCCATTAAAGAATAGCAACGTAATTTTCATTTGCAAATATCAAGCAAATAACCTCACAGACAATATGCTAAGTTATTAGGCGATTATGGTGAGACAGGGAAGACAAGTAGAACATACATTTTTACCAAACAATATGTCATTCCAAGTACTAAACTAATATGAAATTCTTAAATCAATGATCAAAGTTTCGAACTGCTTGAGCTTGAGGAGGGTGAGTAGAGAACAAATAACAGACAAACCAAAAATCATAAATGTAAAAATAACTTCTTCCTGGACCCCCCAGGCACGGGAGCCTCGTTTCACTGGGAAAGTCCAAACCCAAATAAAATTTCAAACGCGTTCCTATTCACTAAAATTGACCCCCATCCTAGTTCTTTGTTTTCTAATGCAATAACATTAAAGAAAACAAAGTACGTTGCTTAATGGCATCTAGCAGCTCCTGTTCCTTAAATCTTACACAAAACTGAATCAATTGACCACCATTCACCATCCCTTACCTCTCCCCTCATTTACCATGAAACAGATAAAAACTAGACAGAAAAACGACAGATATAAAAGAAGAACCCAGAGCTTCAATTAAGCAGCATAAGTAGCATGGTCGGCTTTGCCAAAGTATTGCCTATACCTACTCAATCCAACCAATAAAAAAAAAAAGGAACAATATCTAAAACAACATCCATTTAACAATTTATTATATGCAAGAACAAATCCCATACATAGAATCACAGAGCAAAAAAGAAAATCAAGCACATGACAGACAAATGCAGACGAATCTGAATACATACGTTCAAACCCACCATCAATCAGAGGGAAGAACAAAAACCACAATATGTGAAATTTCAAAAAACTCACAAACTAACAAATGAAAAAACAACACCCAGTTGAGAATTCCGAGCCTTGATTGTGTGTGTGTGTGTAAGAAACAAACAATTGAGGCGCACAAGAGGAAAATAAAATAAAATAATAAAAAAAAAAACAGAAGAAAAAAAATAAATTTTTTTTAAGGCAGAATGCAAATAAAAGTAGCGACGAGAACCGTATCGAAGGAAGAGCTCCGGGAGTTACGGAAATTACCCCCAGTATGAGATTGAACAAAAAAGCGTGTCTTGTTGGTATGCAAATGGATGCCGAAGAATACCAACGCTTTTTGTTCTTGTCCTTCTTCTGCTTCGAAATCGCAGAACTTCCTTGTACCGTGCTCTGTTTCTTTCTCTCCTTGATTTATTATTATTATATCTCTATTATTACTAATTGCTTGTTTTTTATTTGGGTTTGAGTTTTAGAAATAAAAAAATATTTTGGGGTATTCGTCTCTGTTGTCTGGTCTCGTTCCCAACGATACGTTGCCAAGACAACAAGGTGGTCCAGTGACCCTTCCCGCACGCGACGTTTAAAAGCAAAACACTTTTTTCTTTTTTTTCTTTCTTTTTTTTCTTTTCATGTCTTAATTTTATCTCTGATTTTCTCTCCTTCTTTTTTCTTGCACCGTAACTGTTTCCCTGACTCAAAGGGTAACTTCTGCAATGTGCTTTCTCCTCTGTTTCCCCTAACTGAAAGGGTAAATTGGTGAGACCTGAAAAATCAACCAATAAATAAATAAATTTGGGAACTTTTTACTTTGCCCTATTTTCGTTCCCTTTTATCTCTTTTAACCAAGGTTGTAATTTAGAGTTTTATTCATAAAATATCATATCTTTAAAACGACAGTGTCTCCTATAAAAAGTAGGTGCTGTCTGAAAACAAAAAAAGTCATTTCCTCCTTGACTTCAACTGAATCCTCATCAAAATAAAAATGGAATTATAGCAATGAAGATAAGGTTGCAAATTTTTATTTATAAAAGAAAAAATCAAAATCAGTATTAAAAATTTGTATATAATTCACTCTGAAGTAAACTAAAAAAAAAAAAAAAGACGGACAAATAAGACAATTCTAGCTTTTTACTAGTTTTTTTATTATTTGAATGGGTGAAAAATCCTTCTCCTTAAAGTGGAAAAGAAGAGGGTGTGGGAGATTTTTTGTTTCTCTCTTCTTTAATTGTTTGAAACATAAAACCAATCTTTATAAGATTTTAGTAGAGTTTTATATTAAGAAAAAATTTAGATTAAGTTTAAATCTTTAATAAGTATAAAATATTATACTTTTTATTTTTATTTTTATGCACGTAAACAACATATGATTCTTATTTTATTTTCTTATTCTTGTCTTTGCAAACCCACCAACAAAACATTTTTACCAAAATAAAAAACACTTAACATAGCATGTGAATGTGAGTGTTGTTTTTTCATACTTTTTTTTGCACAGTTATGCAAAGTCTTCTTCCCAATCACTAATAATGAGATCCAATAAGTGAGTTAGGTCGCTCGCAAGCGTGTGTTAGTTTGAAAACCAAAATGAAAAAAAAGAAATATATATATATATATATATATATATATATATATATATATATATATATATATTTGCATATGCATTAAATTTTTTATTTTTTATTTAATTCATTTTAATAACACAAATTTAAGCACATATAAGGGTGAATCAATTTAAAATAAACTCGAAAATCAATTAAAATTAAGTTTTATTAATTTTTTTAAATTTGGTTATTGTTTGACAATTAAAAATCAATATTAACCTAAATTTACAAATATATATATATATATATATATATATATATATTATTAAAACTAAAAGATAAAATGTGATCCATTAATTTCTTAAAATATAAGATTTTTTTAAATAAAATATAAAAATATACAAAAACAAATTAAAATTATAAATATCACTATTAATTATAAATAATAATTTTATTATTTTTATTAAATAATTCTTTTATTTTATTAATAATTCTTTTATCATGTTTAATAATTTTATAATAAATTTTTAAAAGATTGCTCAAATAAAAAAATGTTTATTTTATTTTATTTAAATTAATTTAAAAATAAAAGCTTATCAAAATCGAATTTTAAATGCTTGATTCGAGTTTTTTTATTTTTTTTAGTGTCAACAATGAACACCTCGAACAAACATATTATCAAAATTGAAAAAATATATAGATAAAAGAAAAAACTATTTTTTTAAGGCGTTTAGATTATCTGTATACTATAAATAAAGTTTATATATGATCTCACAGACATAAGCAAACTCATTAAAAAAAATCAATTATTGGTATAAATTTATAAGTTCTGAGATTTTGAACATTAATGCTAATTTAATTGTAGACAGACCCTACCATAACCACTCTTTTGTCATCGGCAAGATTAGGATATAATTCTTCACACATTCCTACTTCATACATTTCAAAATAATATTTGGTGACAGTTAATCAAGTGGTTAAAATAATGTCACAGTCCAATGTTGATGGTGGTAGAAAATGTTAAATTTGAACACATGACTTTTTTTCCTTTAAACCTAACTTGAAAGTCACTAGCTAAGTTTAAATTTTTTATATATATACATTTTAATATATAATTACAATTTCAATCATAAAACGGAAAATGAAGATGTTGTTCCTCTGAAAATAAAATTACTTATTTTTCTCTTTTTATAAATGTAATCCAGAAAATTATCTTATTTGGTACTGCATGTAACATAGCATGTATTTCTTTCTAGTACTAAACAATGATGTAAAATTTATAAAATCAAACAAATAATTATTTTTATCTCGTAATACAACTACCCGTACACATTATGGAAGAAATAAAATAAAATAAGTCCTTCACAGTCAAGGACAAAACCAAATTTAATTAATAAGGGAGCGAGTTAGGTGGGATTATAAAAAATTATATATATATATATATATATATATATATATATATATGAAAAATTATAAAATAAAAGCATGGTTATATTTTTTTAAATACTACTCACGCAGTGATAATTTATCAAAATATTGATAAAAATTCAATAAATGATTATTAGTTTGATATGGAAAAAACAAATACGAAAAAAAGTACGAAACTATAATTAAAATTAAAAATTATATGAATAACAATGAATTATTTTTATATTTAAAACCCAAATAAGCATTACATTAAGTTTATTTGATATTGATTAATTTAAAAATAAATTAAATTAATTATTATTAAAAATAAAAGTTAATTTTAAAAAGAATTAGATGATTTATGATGAATTATGATGATTTATAAAATCGACTAATAATTAGATTAATTGGTTGAAATTTTTTTAGGTTTGATGATGACTTAAAATTATCCAAACTTATAAATATTTTTAAGATTTTTTTTAATAATTTATAAATATTATTTTAAAACAAATATATATTAAGTGAAATATGTAAATAAGTTATATAAAAATAGTTAATTTTTATATTTTCTTCTTTAAATTTTTCGGCTCTAGTTAGATTTATTTTAAAAAAGAGTTAAAAGAGTTTCATTTTAATATATTTTATTTATTTATATGTTCTTTAATTTTTGTTGGATTTAAAAATAATCAATTTAAAAAAAATGTGACACTATTTTTACATCGGACCTTTTAGAGACTAATGTAAAAGTTATTTTTTATGTTGGGTCATTTTTTAATTGACATAAAAAATTATTTTTATCTTAGACATCGATAATTGTCGGTAAGGGTGGAGATACCTACAAAGATACTCCGATATTCAAGTTAGTAACAAAAAAAATCTTTTGCAAGAGTCGTGGATAAGAATGCATAACCTTTTTTATTAAACTTACTAGCACTTATAAAATTGTGACTGTGGTATAACTCAACATTTTATTATGTAAGACTTTATTATGTTAGGAACCACTATGGTTCATATGCCCTCGAAGCTTGAGGCGAGTGACATAAAACATGTTTCATGTCATCCATTAAGCATTCAGTTTTTGGTGAGTGACGAAGAGTTTATAAGTTGTCCACTAAGGATCCCATGTTAACACCCATTAATGCTTGATTTTTTTGCGAAAGGTCCTTGCTGCAAGAACAAGATGATTAAGAAAAGGTGAGAGTTTCAAGTCTGCACTTAGTTGGGAAGCACACCATTGGCATGTTAGATCTAGGTCGTTGAATCGAGCAAGATTTAACAGCTTGGGTGGGAGATGTCTCGATTCATGTGCCTACATCTATATAATGGGTCAATGGTGAACAAATTTTCCTGTTTCATGTTTTGTGTTCTTCTTCTCTAATAAGTGTTATGCTTTCTCAGCTCGCTTGCTCCCTTATTATCTTGTCGATTGTTATCAACATATGCTCAATGAGGTAATCATGACTTATTCTTTTTTTTCTTCCTCCTTCGAGTCTGAGAAGTTGTTAGATAGGTTGTCAGAGTGGGTAGAGGGTGTGCCGACAGATCGTGTCCACAAGGATAACGTGGAGAGTGCTTCTACCGATTCCTCTGCTACGACAAGGGATTTCCTCATTGCCATTGAGAGTCAAAAGTCTCCCGATCACGTTGTAAATTGATGCCGAGAGGATAATTGAGAACTTAACCGAGTGCGCAGGTTATAAGTGAGTGGATCATCATAGCTACTTTTTGAAATACC